GTGTGCTTCGGTTTCGGGCAGCTGCTGCCGCAAGGCCTCTGGGTGGCCCAGCGCTGCGCTGGCTGAGCTTGTGGGCCGCTACAGCCCGCCCGCGGCGCCGAGCCCGCCAGGCTTCTTAAAGCTTCCCGCGGTGCTTGCCGCTGGGCCTAGCAGCAGGACGCACCGACCGCTGCTGCGGCGCGGTCGTCTCAGTGCTCGGCGGCTGCTGCTTCACATCTCTGCGTGCATCGAGGAAGGGGGTTAACTTCGGCTTGTTCTCCGCAGGTATGTCCCTTCTCAGGCTGATATAGCAGTCTTTGAAGCAATCGCTGCCCCACCTCCTGCAGACTTGTTTCATGCTCTTCGGTGGTACAATCATATTAAGTCGTACGAAAAGCAAAAGGCAAGGTATGGTTAATCTGCGAAGCTGGAATATATGTGCGAGTTGGCCTGCAAAGTATTGTATTTGTTTTTTCGAGTTTGAACAAAAGTTTTTCACTGGTGCTGTGGCTCTTTTTTTGTTGCCCTTAGAACAGGAACAGTTCTAGAAGCAGAGCAGACCTTTGTCAATACATTACACTTTTCACAATTTAAGCAACCTGATTCTGTCTTTCTTCAGTTGCTGACATTTCTGCTAAAGCTTACAAGAAAAGCTTTGAGCTTTGTTGCTGCCATTTACACCGAGAACTATGCTGAAGGCTGGAAATGACTAGTAATCAACCCCACGAAAGGAAGTATTACAGGAATCTTTAAAAATACACACTATGTGGATGATAAATAAGGAAATGGTTCGTTCAGGTTTTTAGTCCTGGAAGACAAAACACAATTGATTTGCAGTGCAGAAGCACATATGAAGAAGGGGAAATACGAAAGCAAATGTTATCTTTTTTCTTTTTTAGTGATTTTAGTGTTCATGAAAGGTGCTGTATTGACATCCATGGAGACTGCAGGCCTCTCTAAAAAGGTACAGCATAGGTAGTGTCAGTATTGCTACACTGCCTCCTCTACGTGCCTCAGTCCTGTTTGAGGGAACTCTTAAAGTTGGGTGGCTCAGTCACCAGTCTGTTTCTGAAGCTCTTACAATGCAAAAGGAGAGTGGGATTATAAAGTTGTTTCACAAAGTTGCTTCCACTCTGTGGAAACTGCTTCTAGTCCCTGAAGACTAAATGACTCTTGTAACAGCAGTTCACAATAACAATAGAACTATGAGCTTATTCTAAGACTACAGAACTATATGAGCTATAGGAGAATTAATTTGGGGGTTCTGGTCCCTTGTGTGCTGTTGAGAGCTAGTGTTCAGAGTATAGTATTGACTGAAACTTCCAAAGTCACAGGTTCAGTTACCTTGCAATGTGTTTGCTGTCCCTGTTAGTTTTTGACCAAACTAAAATATTTTTAAGGAAGCATGAACAAGAAGTTGATAACTCTTCTTACATGGAATATATTGTGGATAAATTATTCCAATAAGAAAGCATTTTCTATCCATCCACTTAGGCAGAGCAGCAGTGTTGGGCAAGATCACTTTGGCCTTGACGAACGATCTTTGAATATGGGATTTGCTGTAGTCTTACCTAGCATGTCAGGAGCATTGGGGGTTGTCTTTGGGGAGGTTCTGTTTGCAAGTAACAGAATTAGTTGGGTGGTTTTTCTTATAGCACAGCATTTTCATTATGAATGCACTTGTAGGTTCACTGACAGATTGGCAAAATTTGTGTTGACATTTGAGTAGGTTCCTAATATCTGTTGTTTTCTTTCAGCTTGCCAGGAGTAAAGAAGGCTTTGGGGAAGTACGGTCCTGCTGATGTTGAAGATACAACAGGTGCAGCCACAGATAGCAAAGATGATGATGACATTGATCTTTTTGGATCTGATGATGAGGAGGTACTTGTGGACTTTTTGTATTATGTTTCTGGTTTTTTCAGAAATACCTGTGTAGGCAAATTTTTGCCTTAACTAGTTTTAAGTTACTGAAATTTGTGACCTTGATACCAGATCCTACTTGGAATTCTCATTCAGCTGTCTTTACAGGACAGAAAAGCTTGGAAAGGTAAAAAGTCAGAGCTTGAAGGGGATGTGTTGCAGTAGGGTGAACTGTGTACTATGACTGGTTACATGATGAGTAAAACAAAAAATCACCATCTTTCGGCTGATAGTTGTGATGATTTGTTTTTTGCCTGAGTAGATGCCAGTCAGTTTGGTAATGCTTTAAAGATGTGGGGGTTTGTTGCTTTTCTGTAACTTTAGATTTCTCTTTCAGGAAAGTGAAGAAGCAAAGAAACTGAGGGAAGAACGTCTGGCTCAGTATGAATCAAAGAAGTCCAAAAGTATGGCTACCAAGAACTTATTTTTTATGCTTGGGTTAATTTCCATGCATTTGAATAGGATGGCTAGAAACACTAACTGTAATAGGTAAACTTGACTGGAATGAGATGGGAGTAACTAGCTTCACTTGAATTGCCTGTGAGTTTAGCCTTCCCCATAGCAAATGGCAACCTTAACATAGTTTGTGTTCTGTTTAATACACTCTTCTTTGTCTTGCCCTAAGGCTGAGCTTTCTATATAAAAAGAGGTAACTGCAGGATTCTTCTTTAAAAGTTTAGAGAAAAGGCTGCAATATGCAGGCCCCTCCACAGCTACTGGTCTGGAACTGTTCAGAACCGTAGCAGTTGCAGTATTCCCTCTGTGGAAAATAAACTGTTACACAGCATTAAGCTCCTTCTCAGATCCTCTGAAAAGGACTTCCTATGTAACAAACAGTGTTAGCTGCTTAATCCATGTTTTCTTACAAGGCTATTTCTCAAGAACATATATATCTACATCTTGAACTTTGGAATGTGTATAGCTTAAACACTTTTGAAATGTGTGTTGGTACAAGAGGCCTGTCACAGCTATGTGAGGAGGTTCTTGTTGATGAAATTGGGAAGTTCTTGTAAAGCTAGTTCACAAGTATATTCATGAGTGTTTGAAAATTTCCTAGCTTTTAATAGTGATTTTCTTCCCCCAGAACCAGCTGTCGTTGCTAAATCATCAATCTTGCTTGATGTGAAACCTTGGGATGATGAGACAGACATGGCCAAACTAGAGGAGTGTGTTCGAAGCATTCAAGCAGATGGCTTGGTCTGGGGATCTTGTAAGTAGGAAAAAACTACAAACCAGGGAGAGGGAGTTAATGTGGTCTCTTAAGAGAGTGTATGAGTAGGTAGATTTGTCACTGTTTGCTGACCTGTGAAAATGTAGGTAGCTAAAACTGGGAATTAAGAGTACTTCAGTATTGTGACAGGGTGAGAATCAGACAGGTTTTAAAAGCTTTAAAACTTGGGCTCTGCTATCCAGCATCTTGCTGTACGGTTCCTGATGCAGCAAACAGCCATGCACCCCCATCAGTGGTTTGGAGGAAGGCTGGAAACACACAAAACCAAACCCTTTTTGACCACCTTGCGATGAAAGCTGTGTTGTTGATTAGGCAGTCTATAATATGGAAATAAATCAGAAAAACTACTTCGGTCAGTTCAATCATAGATCTGTGTTTTTAAGAGGTTGTACCAATCAAGCAGCACTAAATGTTGTTTTCCTTTTTTTCTTTTGCAGCCAAGCTAGTACCAGTTGGCTATGGTATCAAAAAGCTTCAGATCCAGTGTGTTGTTGAAGATGATAAAGTGGGAACAGATATGCTGGAAGAGAGAATAACAGCTTTTGAAGATTATGTACAATCAATGGATGTAGCTGCTTTCAATAAGATTTAAGTCTTGATATATCTAGAATAAATGTAATTGCAAAAATTGGGCTGTCTGATTAATTAAAAATCATGGTGTAATCCAACTCATAAATGTAAAATCTGGTTGATGGGTAAAGTCAAAGCTAAAACAATTTCAGGGTTGTTCCACCACCCCACTGTAATACCCAAGAGCATGAGCAGAGGAAATGGAAATGTGCTGTTACCATCAATCCCAATTTGACATTCACATGGCTTTAAAGATCTGAAATGCTCTTTGCTCCATTTTTGCAGGAAGTTGCATCTTCGGAAATTTCTGTAATGCCTCTGGGAGGAGGGATGGTTTTAAGGGAAAGGCACAGGGCTCTGGCAAAGTGCAAGTAACTTTTTAAAGATTATATAAACAGGATAAATTCCTTTTGTTCAGTAAGGGTGGTGGCTAACCAAATTACTGTGGCTTATGTTGGAAGCTAAGGCTCAGATTGACTGAGGGAGTAGAGATGAAGGCAAGTTAAAAGCAACTGCAATATTGAGAGGTGACGGTGCATGCAGCGAAACAGACTTGCTGAGACCTGAGACTTACCCTGGTGCCTTCTCCTCTGTTGTGTGGACTTGGAGCTATTTCCCTCTGAGGTGTGAAAACGTTGGGGCAGCGGCGCTGTGCTCCGCGAGAGGCGCCACCCCCTCGGAGGCGACTAGGGGGCAGCAGGCACCTGCCACAGGCACCGCCTGGCCAGCCCACGGCGTGGCAGTGGGAGGAGTGAGGGGGTGCAGTGACCACGGGCTACAGCTCAAGTAGATGAATAGTTTACTTGCCTAATAAACTTGAATCATGTTTCAAGCTAAAAAACATTTTAAAAAATAGGTTTTCAGTTAAAATGCAAAGATAAAATAGCATGATTAAGACCAGTTTGAGCTGCTTACTTGGCTCTAACTTGGTTTCTAGATTGACATTTTAAGAAGGTTGAAGAACCTATCAGAACTAAGTTGTTTTCCAAAAACTATCCATAGGAATGATACAAATGCAAAAGCTGTTAAAGTTGTGAAGCTTCTAGGCAAATCCACATTTCTAGGCCTGTTAGACTGAGACGGAGATTATTGTGATGATGAAATGGAAGCCTTTTATGTGCCACATTGGTCACTGAGATGAAGATGCTGACAGCGGCAGCTGAAATAACTTTTTGTTCTTTTTCACAGAGCATCTGTGTGTGGTTATCTGGCACAGCAGGTCCTTTTTGTTCAAAGGTCTGACAACTTCAGATCATGTGAGAGCTTTGTTTTATAAAATCTGTCTCAGGAAAAAGATATGCCTGCCAGACAGAGGTTTAAAACATGATTAAAGAATTGAAAGTAAGTGTAATTACAGGCTTGATTCCTATCTTCCATAACCTTAACTTCTAAAGGACTAGTGTCATCCTGTGTGTAATTAATGCCCAGTACCCTTTCTGTGGCAATTCTCTATGCTGCTAAATCATGTAGTTTAGTTTTAGTAATTCTGTCATGGTGGTGTTAAAAGAAATTAGCAAATGCTGCATCAGAAAAAAAAAATTCTGCCACAAAAATGTAATCTTTTATTATTGGCTATCACTGTTTCTGACCTCCCATTCAATGTCCTTCTTAAACGCTTTCCTCGACCTTGAAAGCAAGGCTCCAAGTGGATAAAATTGTTTGATTTATAGACTGTAACTAAAACACAGCACTAAGAGCCATCCATCAGACCTGCCAAGCTGGATTTTTGTGCATGTGTCTCACGCTAAGCATGCATGTTACAAATTCTTCAGTTGCTGGGATTTCTTTTGGTTTTTTTCTTCCCTGATGTTAGAAAGAAACTTGCACGGGAACAAGACAGAAAAAGCTAAAGAGCAGTCTCCCCAGTTTCAAAATAGATAGGCCTATGGGCAAGAGAATTCCAGAGAATCCACATAGATCAATGTTAGTGGGGTTTGTGTAGTATTTCAGCCTGTGCTGGTATATTGCTGTGTCACTGTGCCTGTGAAAAATCAGCACCTTTCTTAGAGTAAATGAGACACTCCTACCCCAAGTGTACCTCAACAGGAAGATCAGCAGAAACCTCCAAAACTTAAATAAGAACAGTGGGAAACAGTTTCAACAAAAGTATTGGTTACAAACTAATTACATAACAACCTTTAGAAGCACAAACTGTTCAGGAAGCAGGTAAGAGTAAGTAACAAGAAGCTGTCTATTATGGAACGTGTCAATAGCTATTATTCCTGAATGAATGGTTGATCATAGAGCTGTTTCCTATGAAGTGTTTTTCTATAGTATCTTTTAGCATGATGAGATAGATCCCCTTTATGTGTCTTTTTTTCCATTGTGGTGGGTTGAATGAACATGCCTCAGTCCAAGCAGTGTAGAACTATTGGTATTGTTTTGGACACTCTTTGGAAACAGAAACTTAGAGTGTTACCTGTTTTGTTTAGGTATCTTCCACTATTGCAGAAATGATTTGGAGATAATTCTGTAACTGGTCTTAGTGTGAATGAGGTAGCAGTTACACTGCAGAATTGCTAATCCACTCAATTCTGTAGACCAGGGCTGATTTTGGCCTTATTCAATTCTGTTCCGTATCTCTGTGGTTTACTTCAGGGGAGGCTTTCTGATAATTTATGTAAGACAGTGTATGTATGTTCCCCCATTTGAAAATCAATAGTTTTATGGTATACAGCAGTATGTGTGCTCACATAACCGACATGCAAGAAGAAAGCTGACATAAATTTTAATTCCTGTAGTAAAAAGGGTCAGGGCTTGCTTTCATCTTCCAAAATCTTTGGGAATGAGCTGTTCTAAGTATGGACAGTGTCCTGATTAAACCACAACAGACAGTAACTGCACACTGCAGTTGGGAAAAGCAAATGAACACATTCTTTGGAAACGACAACATTTTATTACTTCACTTGGAGTACAGACAGGAGAATAGTACTAATACATCATTCTTAGAAAGATGTCAGGGAACATGTGAAGAAAAACTGCAAAATGTTTGATTTAGGCACATTCAGCAGCCCAGTGCCAAAATATTACGATGAGTCACTATGTACCAGGCAGCAAATGACTCAGAGGAAGAGTGTTGCTTACCAACTTTCCAGCCCAAAGTGAAATACATTGATATTCCACTGGTCCTGCCTGACTCTCCCAAATTCTGAAACCAGAGCCCAAAAAAACAGTTACAGAACACAGTCAGACTGTTTCTATTTGTACAGCAACCAATACTTGATGTGCTTATGCATGCATATATATATATATTTTATACAAAAGCAAATATATTTACATATAAGGCCTCAATTACAGTATAAATGCTACGTATGTGTGTTGCCAAGCCATAGAAACTAGGTAGATTATCTGAAAGGCAGCTTTATTCTACATACCTAGGCCAATAACAAGGAAAAACTAGTTCAAATTTACCCAAAGCTTTGTGCTTTTACTTTTAGTGGAGTTTTATCTCACATTCAACATTTTAATTAAGTGGTATTGCATCAGAAATTGGTCCACTCCACTCAGGATACATATTTGCATTGATGCACGTGTGATTCTACAGAGAGCAACAAGTTGAAACAAAATATAGCATAACTGGGACTACTTCATCTTTCTTATAGGAGTGGACTCCAGTTCCTGGATGTACTGTCTTGCCTCACATTTGGCTACAGGCTTGTAACAGAATATTGTTGAATTCACCCTACCCATCTTTTCAAGACTGTCATAAAGGCAAACAAAATGGTGTGTTATTTCTTAACCTTTGTTTGACACAGCAATAAGGAGCAACTGATAGTTGTAAACCTCTTTGAGCCTTGAAAGTTCAAACACAGAAAAAGACCAAATGTGGCAGGGGGGCCTTTAATTTCAGCTTCTGTAAGAAACACCTTCATTAAATCTTTGTACATTTCAAATGAGCCTGATACCTCTATGAAACATCTGCTCAGTATTTTGCACCCAACTGGTGCTAAAAGCACAAGAGTAACTGACCAGAAAACATCTCCCATTTTTTTTTTTTTTTTTTTTTTTTTTTTTTTTACAAGAGCAGGCAGCAATTCAGTGTTCTCTGTTTTAGGATTCTTTTCCATCTGCAGAGTGGAACCACCAATACCTTCACTTAGGTGGGATGTAGCCAGCTGATTCCTACTTAATGCAATACTAGACAGTCATGAGACTCATGACTCACTGATGTATGGCTGTGACCTCTTGGATGAGAATGCCTTCATCAGAGTATTTTTATTATGTGCTCTTTTGATATCAGTGAGGTATGGAACCACAACAAAACAACAGGATTACAACAACATTCCTGATCAAAAGCCCAGTTAGAGCAATTCCACTTATGCTGACAACTTTCAGTTCAGGCTGTGTGTGCACTGCAAGTACACCACACCCAATGATGTGTCCTTTAAACGCCTTTCAAGGAAAGCAGCAAGTGCAATTAAGCCAGCTGTTTACATAAAACTGTATATGCAAGGATGCACATCTGACTGGCAGATGTGAAGTCAAGAACACCTCCAAGTCTCCTGTCAGCTGTTTTGAGAGGGCTGGTGGCAAAAGCAGTCACTGAGCAGTTTCACAATAGTGCACAGGTGCATGGGTGTTGTCCGAGCTCCACAGCTGCTCGCTGACAGTTCCTGAGCGGCTCACCTCCCACAGTGCCAATTTTAGCACCTCAGAGACTGTTGTCTTGACCTGGGCCTGGAACTTTTTGCTAATCAGAACATAGAGGATTGGATTGAGGCAACTGTTGATGAAACCAAGGCCAGTGGAGAGGGGAATGCCATCCTGCAGTAAGTCATGCAAGTTTTCATCATGGTGAGCAGACAGCTCCACAATGCTGAATATGTGGTACGGTGTCCAGCAAACAAAAAAAGCTACAACTACAGCAATGATGGTCCAGAATAGCCTGCTGGAAGTCAATACAGTTCTTCTCTTCACTTTGACAATCAGCAAGGAGTAGCAAATGACCATGGTCACTAGAGGAAAGAGGTAACCGAATGCAAGCCTCACCCAAATGAGAATGTGATGTGTCAGCAAAATAAGTTCTCTGTCATGAACGTGGAAGTTGTTGTAGCAAATGGTGACATTGTCGAGAACTGTAGCTGTGTCTCTAAAGTATAAGGCAGGGCCACCAATAATTGCAGCTGACATCCAAATGATCCCACTAAGAATGAGGGTGTTCCTTACAGTCCGATACTTGTAGGAAAAGACTGGGTGGACTAGGCGGATGTAGCGGTCAAGGCTGATGAACGTCAAGAAGAAAACACTGGCAAACATATTAAGTAGTGCAATGAATGAGTTCATTTTGCAGAGCCACTTCCCAAAAGGCCAGTGGAAGCCCATTGCCACGTATGTGATATAGAAGGGCAGGAAGAGAACAAAAATGAAATCTGCAATGGCCAGATTGAGAAACCAGAGGGTAGAAACAGATTTATCCCACTTAAAGCCCATAAACCAGATGACAATGGCATTACCTGGCACTCCCAGCAGAAATGCCACACTGTAAAAGGAGAGGGAAATCATATGGGCAATGCTGAGGGAGGACTGGGGTGATTCATCTTCCTCAGACAGGTCGTAGAAATAAGAGTAGTTCTCAAAATCTTCAAATGTCATGTCTCACAGTTGTTTCTGGGGAAGAAAAGAAATGGAACAGTCAAAGGAGAAATGTTTTACTGCACTGCAAATAGAAACCTGCAATTTCTTTAAGTTATTGGTAATAAAAAAAGCCCAAAATATTGACTTAGCTTCACATATCTATCACTTTTTAGCTGCCAGTTGCTAGCACAAAGCTTGTGGAGTAATTTGGTCACAGGCATTTGAAGAAATGCTCAAACCAAGACAACACTTGAAATCTACAGGAACTGTTTTCCTTGCCTTTACCTCTTAACAGAGAGCACTGAGCACAGTATCACTGATAAATTTCTGGGAGACCAGACGAGAAGTTTTACTGAAGTTGTGATTTTTCTATTATTTTCTAGTGGGGGTTTCATATTTTACTCCTCTCTTTGTATTTGAAACAAGTTTTATGGATTATATCTGTCAGAAATCAGAGAAGCACCAGGCATTTATGTAGGCAAAAAAGTACAGTCAAAATGCCAGGAAGCCTTTTTTTATAAAATTACCACACCACACACTCCCCTCAAATCATAGTTAACAAAATCATAGACGGTGATTGCTCCAGCAATGGAAAGTTCACAGGTTTATTTCTCTCTACCATGTATCTATCTTTGTATCAAGGAATGTTGATTTTCAGATACATTCAGTGGATTAGATTTCCTTAATGCAGCAAAGGACATAGAGAAAAAAACGTACAGAATGTATTTCAGGGACGATACCTACATTTGTGGTATTCTTTTCCACTAGTGAGCTGAGAAACAGGTAATGGAGGAAAGAAAATGAAGCTTTCCAGGAGAATAAGACACACTGTAAGAGCTATAGATTAAAATAAATGTCCCTTTTTTTTTTTTTCTTTTTTTAAGACACAACGGCAGTCTCAGTTTTCTTCTGTTGCAAAAGCTTCTGGAACTTACAAGTACAACATGATTTTTCACATAGGAATTTTCTTCTAAAACTCCAAAGGAAGAGTGTGGGAGGGAGACAAGGGGAGGGAAAGGAAAATATAAACCAGAAGAAAAACCCAGAAAAAAATAATTGAATAGGAAACCAGATAGCAAACAGAGGTTGAACAGGAGAAAACACTTAGAAGTTATGTGTTCGTTCCACAATACAGACAAAGCTGCAGCACAGCACAGATGGCCACAGTCTGACAGAAGTATGTGCCATAGTCAAAACAAATATTCTGCAAAATTCTGCTATCACTTAAAGCTATATTGTCTGCCTGGACTCAGCTGCACTTAAAACCTGTCCCCTAGAGCATGATATGACCAGCCCATTAGCTGTACTATGGATGAGCTCACCGGCACATTTCTGAGTGCTAGCTCCATTCAGAAACCAAAATTCAGCCTTGCTTTTGGAATCCAGCCCTGCATTCCTGTAATTCCACTAATTTTAGCATGCTAAGGACAACAGGAGCAGGGTCTCCAGAGTATGCTGCCTGCAGAACCACATCTGCAAGCTTGTATATACCTATCCTCCAAAAAAGTAGTTCACTTATTTTGAAAGGATTAATCACTAAGTGAAGCTATGCATGTGCACACACATTAGCAGGATTTGATTTCTTATTTGTAGATGGCTAGGCAAAGGGGGAAGGAAAAAAAAAAAAGTTATGTAATTGTGTATCTCTTGATTTTAAAAAATATGTAATAAGAGTTATAGTGATCAGATGAGGGATAATGGTTTTAAACTGAAAGAGGATCGATTTAAAATAGATGAAGGGAAGAAATTCTTCCCTGTGAGGGTGGTGAGGCCCTGGCACAGGCTGCCCAGAGCAGCTGTGGCTGCCCCCTCCCTGGCAGGGTTCAAGGCCAGGTTGGACGGGGCTGTGAGCAACCTGGGCAAGTGGAAGGTGTCCCTGCCCAGGGCAGGGGGTTGGAACTGGATGATCTTTAAAGGTCCCTTCCAACCGAAGCCATTCCGTGATTCAATACAGCCTGTTCTGTCAAGAGACCACGATAACATTTGCCCTTTTAAAATTTACATCAGGCTGAAAGAATGTTATTTGGTTTACTGTCCTGATAAAATTATTCTTATTGGGCTGCATTTATGTAATTACATGCCCACTGGGGTTAGATTCTGCATCAAATACCAGTACCACCCATCTGAGTCATTTTTTCAAAGAGCTTAACAGCTGCTGAGAAATAGTATAAACAAGGAGCTGTACCACTAACATCTGGAACAACACTGCATTTAGATAGTTTCAGAGGACAGTCAGGTTAATAATTGGATTTTTAAGGGTCTTTGCCTATATACAGAACTATAACTTCAAATTAAATTTATGCAATTAAACAAATCCAGGGTTTCAGACTCTTGCTGATTAATACCCTGTATTCCAGTCATTAATCAATTTTGCTTTTAGGTTTCTCAAGAGCTAGCACAACACAACAATATGTAGATTCAAACATTTCCTTCAAAACCTTTTTTTCTCCCTAATGGTGTGGAAAAAACCATAATGACAATAACAAACATTTGCCTACTGCCCAACAATATTAATTCTATATTTAGAATTTCAAAGATGATGTATAGCAGGAGAAAGAAAACATACCTGAATAAATACCAAGTATTTACCAAGCCTCCTATAGTTTAAGACTCCTCCATTGAAAGAGCACACCTTCAGAATGCAGTAATTTTTCCAAACTTGTATTTTTCCTTATCTCTAACTCCTAGACTTCCAATGCAGAGTTCTTGCAGTAACTCTTTAGCAGTGGGGGCAAAAAGCAGGAGGAACATTGCTTACCATTGCTCCCAGTGCACAGATACTGAAACTGGGCTCTGTGGCTAGGACTCAGCAAAGACTGACAATTACATTTGCAAAACCCAGAAACTTTTACCTCTGACATCCATATACATGAAGCATAACAGGACTTGTGGTGTTAAGCCCTGCCCTGAAAAAGATAAACAGTGGGGGACTGTCAGTGGGGCTATGCTGGTTTACATCAGTAAGGACCCAGATTTTTTTCTCCTGGGATAACTGTTAACCATCATTCAGCAAGGATGTTTCTTTGTGTTCCTGAAACACACATAGTTTCAAATACCTGGGGGTTTGATTTTTATTTGTTAATAATCTTTCAGAGTCAGAACACTCTTGCAGTTCAAGTCTAGGTCTTGAAAGTGAGGAAATCTATTTCTAGTCCTTATTCTGTCACTGATTTCCTGTATGATCTTTGACAAATGGCCTGATTTCCAGGCTGGACAGACTCTCGTGAACCTGTCTGTGAACTGAGACTCAGTAGAGAAAACAAAACTTTTTGCCAGCAGTTTCCACTTGGCTTTCAGGCCACCTGCTAGAAAGGGTAAGGGAGGTTTGGTGCAGTTCATTGGCTCAGTCCTTGCTGGTCCAGGGTTGCAAAAAGGAGCCAGAGCCAGGAAAGTATTTTTCAATAAACAGGAAAGTGTGGTCAAGGGCCTGGCAATAGGACTTGGGGGCAGCCACAGGTTACAGAACAGTGTTCTATTGCATATAGATGAATTTTTTTTTTTTTTTTTTTTTTTTTTTTAAATAGCAAACTGCCTGTGTAAAGTGTATGCTCAGCAGTTGTTTGACTGGAGTCTGTTTCTGTTTGCTGAGGTCACAAGCAGCTCTGAAAACTGAGCCTCCTTGATTCAGCTGCCTGATTATGAATATAGTTGCTTAATTTTAAGAATAGGTTTCAGAACATTTGACCGGGAAATTTAATTTCCTGTCCCATTCTCTAAAACAGAAGTTATTTACTAAATGACTTCATAGGAATATCACAGGCTGGCACTTGGTGCTAGTACCTTTTAGATCCTGGGACAGAAAACAGAATTACCAAGAAATACAGATCGTTAGGAAATATTTCTAAAATACAAAGCCACAGAACTACCGAGAAAAGACTTCATCATGTGCTACATGAACAGTCTCTCTGAATTTCAGCAGGGAACCACAGAATCAGATTTCAACTGACCCATTCATAGCTTTTTACTACAAGTACCTAGAGTTCGTCTTCTCTGTCACCGTTACAGTGTTTCATAAAGTTGAGTCATAATGGCAACTTGGACAAAAAATTGGATCTGCTTCAAACAGAACAGCTTTTGACACACTAAGAATGACCTTATGGTTATGACATGGGACCACTACTTTGGACACTATTCATGGTTATGCCACATGCATCCTGTTTGACCAGGGGAAGTCATTTGACCTCTCCACACCTCAGCCCTGAGGTCAGTGGAATGGCTTTGGAATTAAATTACATTGGGTTTTCAGTCTAAAATAGAAGAAAACAAACAAAACGGTTGCAATTTCCACTCATTTCATTTGATGCAAAGTCTTCCTGGGGGTTCAAAGTTCTCTGGGCACCATGCAAGTTAGGGCACCACTTAATTACACTGGTAGTTTATGCCATGTGTTTGGGCTACAGCCCACACAACCTCTCCCTCACCTTTGGTCCTCATTACTTTTGAAATTTACAGAGAGGTCCAAGGGAAGAGCTTATTCATTGTCTATGTTAGTTAAAAGTTAACACAAATATTTGAGTGGTAGTCCCAAAATTTATTTGTTCAGTGTGATAAACAGTGCTCAGAGCATCTGGCCAGCTAAATTGATCTCAGAGGTCACAACAGTGGGTCCTGACTTAATAGGAAAATCATGGTTTGCGGAGTTGGCTGTCTCAACAGTTAAATTCATAGAGGGAATATATTACACCAGCCTTCCTTTTAACATCTTTATGAATAATTCTGAGCATATCACATTCCACGTGTATGGTTGATGGCTAAAGGAAAGCTTCTTTGATTGATTCACTTCAAGTTTTGTCATTTGCAAGACTCAAATGTTGGAGAAAAATTAGTTTCCCAAAAGGTCACCTAAACTGTTTGTCATACTGTGTCTCAGCAAATTTGCCTGGATATGGAATTCATCTGAGAGCCTTAAAAAAAATTTGTTTGAACTTTTAAGGTGCTAAACTTTTAATTTATCTAGCTTTAAAAACATAAACATGAAATTCACCCCATAGTTTATCTGTAAAGCTCGAAACACTGAAGGTTAGGCAAGTTTG